TTCACAATAGTCCAGAGTGTCCATGAACAGATGAAGGGATAACCAAAGTGTAGTATATAATATATATATACAGATATATATATATATATATATATCTGTATATATACAATGTGTGTGTGTGTGTGTGTGTGTATATATATATATGCATATATATATGGTATATACAATGCATTATTATTCAGCCATAAAGAAAAATGAAGTTCTGATACATATGATGATAAAGATGAACCTTGGAAGCATTATATAAAGTGAAATAAGTCAGACACAACAGGACAAATATTGCATGATCCCCTTTATATCAAATACCTAGAACTGACAACCAGATCAAAGTTTAGTAGTGGTTACCTAGAGCTGAGGGGAGGGAAGAATGGGGACTTATTTTTTTCCCCTCTAAGTTTTATTTCTTTGTTGTTGTTGAGAATATACAGAGCAAAACACAAACCAATTCGACTGTCTACAAGTATAATACACTGAGGACATTCTCAAAGTTGTACCAGCATTCTCACCCTCCTTTTCCGAGACACTCTTTCCTCAGTAACACAAACTCACAGACCCCTGAATTTCCTAATTTTTCAGGTTGCTGTTGGCAATTTGATCCCATAGAGAGAGTTCTTAAAAGAGCACAATGCTCAAGACAGACCCTTTTTCACTAAACTACTGTCTGGTTTTCAGACTTCAGAGGTTATTTTTGGTTTAGAGTTTAAAGATTATCTCAGGGCAATAGTTTCAGGGTTTCATCCTCCTGCCATAGCTCCAGAAAGTCGAGAGCCCATGAGCATTTGAAATTCTGTTCTGTATTTTCCCCCTTTTGATCAGGATTCTTCTATGGAAACTTTGATCAAAATGTTCCATCATGGCAGCAGTGCACCATCCAGTTCTGGTCTCATGGCAAAGGAGGCAGTTGTTCATGGAGGAAATCAGCCACACATTTCATATCCTCCTCCTATTCCTGACTCTCTTCTTTCCTGTTATTCCAGGCAAACAGAGACCAATTGTTGTGCCTTGGATGGCCACTTACAAGCTTTTAAGACCCAGATACTACTCAATGAACTACGAGGTAGAAAGAAGCATTAAATGTGTTATTATTAGGCCAATTAAGTGCGATGTCCCATGAAACCATGACCCTAAAACTCCAAACCAAGGAACCAAATCCCATAAGGTGTTTGGATGTACATAAGCAGCCTCAGCAGCTACTTTTTTTAGTCATTATTGTAAATATATCTATCACACATCTTTGCCAGTTCAACTCATGGACAACAATTACAGTAACTGGCTGTGCAATCCTAACTTAATCAATGTGATTTTTCCATCACTGTTAACTTCCCTTTTCCTCCTCCATCCCACCCTTGGGACCCACAAGAAACTTTGGTCTCTGTATGTTTGCCTTGTCTTGTCTTTTTATGTAAGCAAGGTCAGAAAATATTTGTCCTTTTATGATTGGCTTATTTTGCTCAGCATACTGTCTTCAAACTCCATCCCTAGTATATCATGTATCGAGCAAGACTTCATTTCTTCTACTGGCCAAATGTACTACATTTGTTTATCCATTATCTGCTGATGGGCTTTTAGGTTGTTTCCATCTTTTGGCTATTGTGATTTTGCACAGGGTACTGAATTTGTTTAGGGTGATGAAAAACTTTTTGATAAAGTGGAGACAGGTGCACAATATGGTGAATGTAATTAGTGTCACTGATATGTATACTTAAAAATGGTTACAATGATAAATTTTATGTTATGTGTATTTCACCACAGTAACATTTTTTTCAAAAGTATATTCTCAACAGACATAATCTTCTTTGGAAGTGTATTTCTCAGTTTTAAGACTGGAAATATAGATCTGACTTAAAGAATATTCTTATAATCATCTTCAGATAATTTCTACAAAGCAATACTTTCTTAAAAGTAGTATCAAGAAAAATAACATCTGCCTGAGTCCTGAGGTGAGTGAAGGTGCTTCGTAAGCCCTTGCTGCCCCAGGCTGGGGTGCTGGCCACACCTGTCTCTTGAGCTCCATGTACTCATGCTGCATCTGGACAAGCTCTTTCATCAGGCGCCTAGCCCGCTCGTGATTGTCCTGGGCCACCTGCTCGATGGTCGCCATTTCCTTCTGCATGCAGCTGTTCTCCTGCTTTTGCTCCTAGCACAGGAGGAAAATAGTTATTTTCGAAACAAGGTCCAGCGTATAGTGGTGTGGGTTGTTAGCTTACACACGCACTAGCTCTGTCATTTTATTTCCCTTCTGGGCCTCAGCTTCTCTAGCTGTAAATGGGGATAGTTCTATCTGCCTTCTTTGGCAGGTATAGGATAGCTGCAAGTTTATACATGTCAGAGTTTCTTAGCTTAAAGTCTAAAAACTAGATCTGTAGCATTACCTTTGATAATAAGCTATTTTCTTCTCTGAGTCTCCATTAACTGCACAATGGGAATAGGATTTTTGAGAAGCTGAAAACACAGATGTCTGCGTACTATCTTTACAATCACATTGCCTAGGTGAAAGCGAGTCACCTTCTGGGAAACAAACATGATTTGTAAAGCGCCTATTATATAATACAAAAAATTAAAAAAACAAACCCACAGTTGCTGTGTAGTCAATTCTGATTCATGGTGACCTATGGGTTTCAGAGTAGAACTGTGCTCCATAGGTTTTTAATGGCTGTGATTTTTCAGGCCCCTCTTCCAAGGCACCTCTGGGAAGATGTGAAGTGCCAACCTTCCTGTTAACAGACGAGTGATGAACCATTTGTTGTCACTCAGGGACTCCATACAGTACATTCCCAAAAAAACAAAACTCTGTTGCCAATAAGTTGATTCCAACTCATAGCAACCCTAGAAGACAGGAGAACTGCCCCAGAGGGATTCCAAGGCTGTAAATCCTTATGGAAGCAGACTGCCTCATCTTTCTCCAATGGAATGGCTGGTAAGTTCGAAATCCAACCTTTTGGTTAGCAGCTGAATGCTTTAACTACTGCATCACCAGAGCTCCTTTCACACAGTAGGGCTCTGATAATTTTTCCAGTGTGTTGGAGAAATGTACTCCTGTGACAGCCTACCTCTGCTGCCCCCTCCCTCTAACTCACAAACCAAACTCACTGCTGTCAAGTTGACAGACTCACAGAGATCCCTCCTTGGGTTTCCAAGGTGGTTATCTCGGCAGAAGTAGACTGCCCAATCCACCTCCCTCTACCCTCCTTAAATGCTTTTAAACTCATCTAAGTATCCCCTCCCAACATTTATTTTAGGGATGAAAGCAGACTAAACGGAGCCTTCTGGTTTTAGGATGATGGTTGAAAGCAGCTAATGTTGAACAAAAGGCACAAGATAAGAAGAATGTGTGTGCACTGACTGCAGTGTACAAAAATGCCTACCAAAGTGCCCTCCAACACCCGCTTCCTGCTTCCTAATGGCCGAGGTGTAAGCAGGGGCTTGCTAGCTGAGAGTGCCCTCCGCCTCGGGCTGACATTGTTTGTTCACAACACCATCTCTGCAGCCAGCCAGTGCACTCCTTTGAGGCTGCAGCACAGTCTCAGGTAAAACCCACCGTCAATTTAGATGGACAGACTATGCACAGCCGCACCAGTATCAACAGAAAGATTAGGCGCTGGGTTGATGGGTAATGTATTTCCTCGGCACTGAACCAATACTTTAGTTCAGAAATTCAAAGGCATCATTTCCTCACAAACCGCCAGGGAGGCAGATACTCACGAGAAGGTTTTTCTCCAGCTGGCTCCGCTGGGTCTTAAGGGCTTCCTTTAGGGTGGTGATCTGCTTCTCAGCTTTCTTTCTCTCTGTCAAGAACTGGTTCTGAAGGAGGCTGCAGTCTGCCCTCATAGAGGCCATCTCCTTCTGGAGAGCGAGAAGCTCACGTGACTTTTCCATTAATTCCTGCTCCCGTTCTGAAAGCTGCTGCTCTGAAATGAACAATTTCAGTGTTAGCCCGAGGCCCTGGGCCTGCCGGATGCAGCTTTGCCCTCATGGGTAGATTGCTTGTCACAGGTCACTCACTCAGGTTCTGTCCTTCACACTGATTCTTATAAGTCCACCCTGACCCACACCAGAGGTTCAGATAAGGCCTTTTGAAGCATCTGTTTTCTGGAAGGCCTGATACCAACGTGACAGACAGCTATTGATTCCAAATCTTTGAGACAAATAAGAGTAAACACAGCACTGCTCATGAGTGCAGGGGTACACAGAGCAGAAAGCTGGAATTCTGTTTTATAAACCTTGATTTTAATAAAAGGAGCCACAGCCACACCTATACTGCTTTCCTCATGGGAGGAAGTACAGGGCTAAGAATACAGGATTTGGAGAAATTCCTACCCTGGCACAAGCCCCCTTTTACAAAAAAGAAACCCATCTCGTGGTGTTCAATGAGAATCATGTATGCAAAAACGTGGTAAACAGTGAGTAGTCAATAAATAATGCTTATAAAACATGAGGGCATTTTAAACAGATTTTTCTAATTATTTATTTAGAGTAACACACTGACCACGTTTCACTTTCCAACACCCCTGGCGTGATCAGACTCAGTGCCTTTGTTAAGTTTCATTTTCCTAATGAAATGACTGGGTCTGGGTGGATTAAGAGCCTCAGAGAAGAAGAATCAGCTCTTTCAGGTCTCCAAGGCCACTGAGTTTGCTAAGGGGAACAACAACATTTTCTGAGCGTATAAAACTTTGTAGCCCAAGAAAGAGAATATTACTTCTTGGTGTGTGAATCACCTTCCCCGGATTCCCGTGCCAACGTCATTTTTATGTTGTTCAACAGACAGCAAACTGACCCAAAGGCAAACACCTCTACTTGGTTGCATTTACTGTCACATTTGGACAGCAGTAGACTGCTGATGTTGTTTCTGACTGAGGTAGGATGGATCACTGACACCAAAGCTCATGAACAGAGCCTTCAGAGTACCTGTTGGCCCTTTTGTCCCTTCATGTTCCTACCTCCTTGACATAGCTTTCCTGAGGGAGGCAATATGGTAAAGTGAACAGACTTGAGAATCGAATAGTCCCAGGATTGACTCCCTTCTCCATAAAGATACAAATTGTCATGAACTCTCTGTTTCCTCATCGTTCATAATGCGATGAGCAACAAACAAAATACCATACTTCCTGCTTTGTTTCTCCTACTTCCATTCTGGGTTCTGGATGGTGCCTGAGTTTCTTTTCCACAGTTCACAAGACAACCAGCAGAGCCCCGCACCCTCAGAGGAATGTTTCAGAAGACATACTGGTCTGGGAGAGCGTCTTCTCCAGGGTTTCAGTCCACTTCTCCTCTTCCTTCAGGGTCCTGACGCGCTCCTCCACCACCGACACCTCTGCAAGCACCTGTCCCAGTTTGCTTTTCTGCTCCGTTACTTCCTTTTGCAGCTGCTGCTGCTGCTCCTTCAGTGTCACTTTACTGGCTTCTAATTTTTCTTCTTCACTTTCCTTCTCCTTCTGGAGTTTCTGAAACATCTTAATAAAGAACAACCTCAGTTAATCGTAAAATAACAAATACTAAGTAGCCCAGGCGAGAAAACTGTCATGGACACATGACAGATTTCAGTTCAACAGAGTAGAAAACAGCCCACTGTGGCAAAGAGAGCACTCTCTCCACACAGGTGATCAGACAGGGACTGGAAAACTACATGGTCAGCAAGTTGGGGAGGGGATTCAAGCAGCAAATGGTATGTGGTCATTAAGATTCTTTATAGGTCTAGGCAGGGGGGAGTGTGCCCATGACCACATACTGGGATAGCAGACAATGTTTCATTTCTGCATGCATATGTGTATGAGCTGCAAGAATGTCCAGGTGGGAGTTCCAGCAAGATGGCGGACTAGGCAGAAGGACTGCACAGACCCTCTTCAACAAAGAAAAGGGAAACCAATTAACAGACACAGAAGATAATCTTGGACCCCTGAGCCTTGAAGGGAAGGACACAAAAGTGGACTAAACCCCAACTAGCAGAAGAATTTGTGTGAAAAT